GCTGCCCGGCCGGAGCGGAGGCGGGCAAAAACTGCAAGGTAGCTTGCAGAGTCTCCATCCCACCGAGGCCCTGCAGCCCGAGAGCCGAGCCTTCACCCTTACAGAGTTTCTGCGGGTATTAATAACAGCTTTCAAAATGCGCATATCGGGAAGCAGACGCGAAGGCCAGCAGATACTGCGTGGTAGCAGGAGAACAGGATTCAAATGCTGGAGGCACCCAAAGCCATACTTACAGAGGTCTGGCTGTGCTGAAAAGTCCCCTCCTGTTGTCCAGCAGAAAGAAAAAAGGCATAAATAGAGCCCATATAACCCCAACACTAAGTTTGGGAGCACAGGGCATTGGTATTTAAGGACTAGGCAAAGCCCCTCTCCTAATTTGGGGCAGGATTTTACTCCTTCACGTGCCAGAGTACTGCTTATGGCATACAGCTGAAGCCATCAGAGCCATGGTTTGCCTGAAGCATGTTCACTTGAGTTTGTATTTTGCACAGCACTTGTGAATCTATGCTAATTAGCACAGCCTTTAAGACCTTCCTAATTTTAAGAGACATCAGTGGAACTTATCCAGGGGCTGAAGATGGAGGCCACCTTGAAGCAGTTTGCTGAATCAAAGCGTGAGTTGAAGTTACTGGGCTTGTGTCCTGAGCATTTCATTTGGGTCATCTGCTGCTTAATTGTACCAGGGGTACATTGCTGCACCAAGAGAAAATACAATACAAGCACCAAAGGCCCCCGTGTTTTCATAACCCACAGTGTGCTGCAGCATCTGGCAGGAGTCTGGCCTATTTGGGGTTTAGATACCCTAATTTTGCCTGTACTTTGCTGAGAGCGTGAACGCAGACAGGAAGGGATGATGTCTTGGGCTTCAGTCACCTGCCCTCTTCCTAACTCTGAGGTCCCCATAGCACGGGCTGCTCTCATGGGCAACGTACAGATGACATTTATCTGCTTATCCTCTGGCCACAGCTGAGACCAAACACCTACAGTAAAAGAAAACGCGAGCCAGGCATGGGCTGCAAATGGCACCAGTCCTTTTCTAAGCTCTCCCAGCCTTTGGCACACTGGATTCAGCTGCCTTTGACTCCTTACCCCAACTCTAGGCCTATTTATATTCCCTGAGTGACAGCTAATCTCTGATGGCCCTGCACCATGCAGCAATAAATTGGTCTTCTTGAGCTTTGGATTGCTGAGCCTTAGCCCAAATGTGAGTTATACCCCAGCCACAGAGAATCAGACACTGCCCATGATCCCTACCAGCCCACTTATTAAGTCTGGGGGCTTTAAGAAATACCGAAGCACCCTGGGATCCTCCCACCGCCTCCTTCCCCAGACCTACAGACCCTGAGGTTCTAAATTACATCGCAGGGTCCTGAATCAATAGACCTCCAAACCCTAACCTTAATGCAGAAAAGGCGAACGTAAGATACCGCCATCCCTCCACACCTACTCTCTTAAAGTCTTGCCTCCTCCCCACCTTTGTGCCTCTGGAGAATGCAGTGGCAAACCGGCTCCCAGAGCTTTGCTTTTCCAAACAGCATCAGCAAGCTAAGCCCTAACCTCATCTATGGCCAGGAGATCAATTCCTGTCCTTGGGAAATAGAGAGGTATTCGCTTGAGTGCTTCTGACACCTCCCTGTGCTCCTCTGCCGCCGGCAGTCCCAGCCCACGCCGTGTCCTCACCTTCCTGCGGAGGTCTGGGTATGCAGCCGTCCTCCCCGCTCGGCCGCTGGGGTTTCACTGCAGCCACTCAGACCACTTCCAGAGAGACGTTTGGGGTTTTTTCATTGGGAATGCATCTCACTCTGAAATTTATTAAAAAAAAAATCAATCTATTTTTGGGAAAAAAGCCCAAATGAGACTACTATCAGTCTTCCTGTGTCACTTGTCGGTGTTATTCACACCAACAGCACTGTCATTTCTGCAGCACCGAAATGTCTCATCTTGATATGGAAAAAGCCATTTTGTTTCTATTATTGTGATTCATTTCACTGCACGTCAGTAAATATTATACTGAATTCTTTTTCTCAGTGTAATGACCTGACATCCAAGAGAAAGAGCGCTGCCTTGTGAAAACAAAACATCTGACGTCACCTTAACCAGATGCTTTGATATTTCTGAATATTTCAAAACCAGGACACCCTCCTACCTTGTTTTGGTAGGTGCAGAAGAGCTGCTCTGTTTTATCCAGAATACAAATGTCACTCTTGGAGCACGCCTGGCTCTGTAATTACGTTCACGCTGTCCCCAGCCATAACTTTCTGGCAGAAAAATCTTCCCTAATTTCACTCGGAGAACTCTTAACCGGCTTCTTTTCCTGCAGCTACAAAACACGTGTTACAAAACTCATAAACACCTTCTAATTAATTATACCTATTTCTCAAATGGAAAATTAATTCTCATTTATTTTCTCCATGACTGTATTTTAAGCCCAGACACCACAGCTCTGAGCCCTTTGGTTTTCTACCTGGGCTGCTTAAAAAACCATAATGAGTTTTCTCTTTTCCCTAATGATGTGTCATTCACCCTCCTTCAACCCTCCTTCTCTGCAATGAAGCCAGTGTCCCGCTCACCTCCAGGTTACGCCACTTCTACGCCAGCCTCTGCCCGTAGGATCCTGCCCGTGGAGCTCAAACGCTGCCAGATACACTGAGCTACATCTTTCGGAGGATCTCCCAATTTTGGAGGCTCAGAGTACTAAAAGAATTACAAAATGTCTTGCTCAGAGGGTTCAATTCTCCACCTTTTCCATGGATAATCCCCTACCTGGAAAACACTCCAGGTTGCCTTCCCACACCTACCTAGAGGAATTTGAGGGAAAACCCCAGCTCTGGACAGCTGCATCCTCAACGAGGGAATTTTGCTATAGTTGCTACTAGGTACGGATGGAGAAGAACACCACTTAACCACATCTTGCTAAACTCAAGGTGCTGAGAAGATGTGTGGCACCTGAAGGGGTTTGGGATACTCATAGTTTTCTTGTTCCCCTCCTTTCCTTGGGCTGAACATCTCTGCCCGCTGCTGCTGGCAGCTGTGTAGAGGTGATGCTGCAGGACTCGGCCTCTTGTAGATGACATGAGTCCTGAATCCTTTTTCCCCGGTAGCAGAGGTGCCCCTTTGGGCAGGTCTTTAAACATAGACCTTAAAATTGCAGCAATTCTGTAGCCCACAGCCAAGTCACGGGCTTGCTGCTTTTAATTTGGCACCACCACTGCGTCCTGCCCCTGCCCGTGGGAGCAAGACAAAGGAGGGGACACACCAACCTTTAGATCTGTGTAAAGCAGTGCTGTGGCATAAACTGAGTGGCCTCATTTTTAGAGATTTTGAACACCGCGCAATTCCCCAAGAGCAACTGGGACAAGTAGGGTCATGATGCACATGCTGGCACCATCGTTACTGCTTGTAATGAGCTCCAAGATATTATCCTGGGAAAAGAAATCCAGAGCCAGTGTGCATATCGAGGAACGCGCTGTGCCCACCCTGGTGATGTCCGGGGCTGTATTTCACCCGACGTTGCTTTGACTCCTCAGCACGAGCTGTGGAAGATGCCCAGCCGCATCCTACGCAGTGCTGGCCTGGTGGCACTGAACCCTGCAAACGGATTGCGTGCGGCATGGAGCTAAAGGAAGAGGATGCAAATCGCCCCGTTGCGGTGCTGCACCTCATTTAGAAATTTAATTGGCTTAAATTTAATTTCTGCTTCGACTGACGTGGCAGCTCTTTGCTGGACTGTGCTGGAGGGAAGATAGCCGGAGGGCGGGCAGCAAGGGTGACCAGCCGCCACAGGAGGGCTGGGTGTGCTGGGGCCAACCTCCCCATCACCAGGATACTGATCCAGGATGGGGCTGAGACCGTCCGCCTTCCTAGCTGACAGCCTTGGAGCTTGGGGGACCTATATTTAGGCGATAACTACACCGAGGGGTCAAAAGAGTCTGTAACCAGCAGGCTCTTGCTCACTAGGAACAAATAAACACGGTGCCAATGTCTCCACCCCGGAGTCCCTCCCCACCGAGAAGGTAGTGGTGGGGATGATGCACAGCGCCCAAGGGGGAATGGGCACGCTGCTCCCCGGAGCATCGCTTCTGGCTCTGTTGCCCGGGTTATTTACACTGTGAAGAAGCCGGTGATATTTCTTTTACCTTGCGAAGAAAATGATTTGCTTTTAAGACCCCAGTGAGGCTTTGGCTCTTGGGAGACTTTCCCCTGTTTATTTTTTCTCTGATGGAAAAGAAGCAAGATTTATTATCATGATGAAGAATAAACGGATCGGAAAATACTTGGTATTTCTACAAGGCTCTTTTTAAACCTAGAGGGCTCAGACTTTAAATTAATGAAGAACATAATTCTCTTGGCTTAGGAGCAGCAGGGCGGGGGATAAAATCTCCTTGTAGGGAAGGGAGTTAGCTGCAAATCAAGGATGTTTCAAGCTGATCGCATGGCTGTGTGTGTTATAGCCGTGCTTCGAGGTCTCGGCTAGGATCGGGGCTGTCCCTGCCCGCTCCCTGGCATCTGCAACCCAGAAAAAATCAGTGCTCATGTGAAAGGACAGCACAGATGAGAGAGAGACCCAGTGGATCAACCAGCGAGGGAGAGGGGAGGGAGAAGGGAATCGCTGCAGTAGTGACTATTTTGGGGAACGTGCATCTGCACCTGTGTAAGTAAGTGTCACGGCCAATTGCCAGATCCTTTTAATAGCAGCCGGCATGTCGGCTGGTTATTCTTGTGCTCGAGCACACAAAAGGTTGAAATAAAGTCAGGCAGGGGCAAGCTGAACGGCAGAGGAGGAAGTCTGCAGAGGAGAGTGCCCTTGACTTTGAAATCCTGACTCCCCCCTTAGCTTATCATGCCATAAATCCTTCCTTATGAATGATTGATGCACAGCGCGTGGGGGGAGCTGAAAGCCCTGGCTGGGAGCAAAGCCCCAGCACCGGGATCTTCCAGAAACAATAAGAAACAAGTCCTTCTCCCATGATTTCACCTTGTAATTAAGGAAGGTGGGAAGACTGACTGTTAGGCCGATGAATGAAATTAAATTAAGAAGTCAGGTAAGAATCTGTGGCGGAGCATGCCAAGATCTCCAGTTCCCCATGCAGGGACCGGAGGCTCCTCCCTGCTTCCTGGCTCATCTTATCGTCTTATCGTCTTTATTTGCTGAGGAGGGCAGCACCAACAGCTTATCATTGTCTCCAATTCATTTGTAACTGTAGAGCCATTGATCTCTCGTTACCCGATGGCCTTAAACAGACCCGAATGTCCCAACGCCCCTTGGTGGCACAGCAATCCAGCGCTGCAGCCCGCTTGGCCGAGTGGGTTCCCAAAGTGGCCGATGCGAAAGTACCAGATGGTGATTTTGGTGTTTGTGGGCACAGCCGGTTCCCGACAGGATCACGGCAGTCCCATCAGCTTTGCGGTGCTGTCGGCTTTTGCTGCTGAAATTCGTCACCGTCCGCAGCTCCCAATGCAGCAGCTTGGTGAGAGGGCTGGACCTGGGTGGGAGAAGCAGCCCACCCATATTTTGGCAGTGGGGTTTCTCTTCTCCTTACCAGAAGTGTTTATTTTTAGACAGTTGGGAGCAAACAAGATCTCAGAGAAACACGGAGGACTCTTGGGCTCCAGTGCTTTTTGGAGAGCATCAGATGTGAAGACAGAGGTTAGACAGCTTCTGAGAAGCACCAAGTACCTCCAGCTTCAGCCCCTGCAGTCAGGTGCCCAGAGGTTTCTCACCTCCTGTCTCCTCTGGTGGATACAGAATTGGAGAGGGGAGATGAGTCCACAGGGGAAGCCACCACTGATGCTGCCTGGGTTTGTGTGTGATGGTTGCAGTGTTCGTGCAGTTTTGTTGACTCCTCCTAAACGTGCTCCAGCTGAATTCCCCCTTCTGCCCCTGGCTGCTTCTGCACCCTGGCAGGGGTCTGTGAGCCTCTGCACTCCATCCCCCGGTGTGGAATAACCATCAGGGAAACCTCAGTAGGGCTGGGTTCGGATGCTATGAAGTCCCCAAGCCGAGTATGTTTCTTCAGGGCATTTTGCAGCGCTGTTAGAAAATGGTTGTGCCTTGTCTAGCACAGAGCTTTACTTTCCAGGGCTCTTGGGCATCCAAGGGGCCATAAATTCACTGATGATGAATTAACAAGCCCTGGAATTAAAAAGAGGGAGAGAAACGTGAGTGCAAATTGATTTTTTTTCACCTTTCCTTGTGTGCATGTGCTGGGCACAAGGATATAGTAGATTATATTACTAAATCTGCTGGGATAAGCAAAAAATTCAGTGGTGTCAGGAAGCTGCTGTACTAAAATGAAATGATTCTGCGGGACGCACGCGGCCAACCACATTTAGACCGATGGCTTTGGAGACTGGCTGATGCTTGATGGTCTGTTCTGAAATGCAGTCAAACCTGTGGCGATTAAACGAGACCCAGGACCGTCTTAATTCAGCATTTAAGCTTTTTTCTTCTTCCTTGGGGTCTGAGCTAGGCACGTGATAGGAATATTCATTGTAAGAAAGCCGAGCGCGAACAAGCCTGGAAGCGTAGTGGTGCGGATGATTGGAAAGGGGGGATTTCTGGTTTCTGGCACGCCGCGATGGCCCGTTTCAGCCGGGGCGCGAGGG